GGAGGTTAGGTGCCATCACGACCCCATTTGGTGGGATTCGGTTGTGACAAATTGGTATCAAAGTCCTATCTTCATAAGTTCTACGAGTCATAAACAAATCTAGTAGAGTCTTGCGGATCGGTATGGAGATACCTGTACTTATCTTCGAGAGGCTACAGAGCACTTAGGAAACTTCACGTTCTTTTATTCATTATCACGCGGATTTGTTTTTCCCAAAGTCTAAATCTTTACTCTTCTATTCTCTTACATATGGTGATGACACATTCTTCGGGATCACCTGAGCAGGCACCAGTACCCCCTGCCAGAGTTGTGAGAGGTCGGGGCCGAAGGTGGGCACGCGTTGCAGCTAGAGCCTCTTCTAGAGCAGTAGTTGTGGAGCATCAGTAGATCTGGTTGAGGAGCAAGAGCCTGATCATGTTGAGCAAATAGGACCCACTTGGGCACTTGAGGGGCCTATTGCTACATCAGGGCTTCAGAAGACCCTGGCTCACTTCATGAGTTTGTTTGGGAGCTTGGTCCAAAAAAGGTTGATTCCGTTTGTACAAGCTACTTCACAGGCTGGGAGAGGCGCCCAGACTCCCCCCGCCCATACTCCAGAGCAGAGATCTCATATTTACCAGACACCGGTGTTCTACCGGTGCAACCAATAGTTGTTGTTCCACCTGAGGTAGGGCTAATCATGTTTGTTGATGGGGCAGAAGAGTTTAGAGAGATTTCAGAGACTCCTTCCTTCCCAGTTCAGTGGTGGGGCTTTTGAGGATGCACAAGGATTCCTAGATCAATGTCATTGTATTTTGTGTACCTTGGGTTTGGTGGTGTCGAGTATGGTTGACTTCACTACTTTTTAGTTGACTGGGTCGGCATAACGATGGTGTCAGACTTATGAGGCAAGTAGTCTAGCTGGCGCAACCCCAATTACATGGTCCCAGTTCTCCGATTTTTCTTGGGGGAGTTTATCCCACAGACCTGCAGGGATGAGTTATGCCGTGAGTTTGAGCATGTGCGCTAGAGGGGTATGACTGTGTCCGAGTATGCTTGAGGTTTATAGCTTTATCCCGCCATGAAACTCCTTTGGTTTCTGCTAAGAGGGAGAGAGTTTGTAGATTTGTTTAGGGACTTACCTACAACCTTAGATATGGGGTGGCACGAGAAATAACGACTGAGACTGTATTTCATCACATTCTGGAGATTGTTAGGAGGTTAGAGTGTATTCGCGGGGAGGAGAGGGAGGATAGGGCGGCTAAGAAGCCTCGTGGTTTTTTGAGGATTTAGTGGTTCCTATTCTGGGGCAAGGCTCGACATGGTAGAGGTCATTTTAGTCGACCAGTCCAGTTCGCACTTCAGGTTTAACATAGTGCTCCAGTTAGCCATGGATTTCAGAACACTCGTACCAGGCAGCCATCTTTTAGTGCACCTTCTGCACGGGGTTCTTACAACGATTGTTAAAGAATTACGATGTCGATATTCTGTACCACCCCCGGAAGGCAAACTTTGTGGCTGACACGCTAAGTCAGAAATCCATGGGCAGCCTACGACATATGGAAGATTATAGGTTAGAAATGACTAAAGACTTGTACCGGCTGGTTAATTTAAGTATACAATTGCTAGACGCCAATAGCAGAAAAGCCATAGTTTGAAATGCCGATGAATCCTCTCTAGTAGCTGAAGTAAAAGCACGCCAATTTAACGATCCAGCTTTGGTGAAAATAAGAGAAATCATTCCCTTTCAAAAGAAGCAGGTGCTCGAGCTATCAGAGGACGGAGTCCTTAATACTAGGACCGGTTATGTGTGCCCAATTTCGGGGGACTCTAGGAAGATCTTGGTAGAGATTCACCAATCCCGATATTTTGTTAATCTGGGCCAACCAAGATGTATCATGATCTTCGACAGCTATATTGGTGGAACGACATAAAAAGGAACATTGTTGAATACGTCACTCAGTGCCCAAATTGCCAACAAGTTAAGATTGAACACCAGAAGCCAGGGGGATTGCTTCAGAATATGGAATTCCAACCTGGAAATGGGAGATGATCAATGTAGATTTTGTTATCGGATTACCGCAATCATGCTGAAGATTCGATTCTGTATAGGTCATCGTGGATCGACTCACCAAGTCAACTCATTTCCTACCAGTTAAGACCATCTTCTCAGGTGAAGATTATGCTAAGTTATACATCAAAGAAATAGTCCCGACTCCATGGGGTTCCGATTTCCATCATATCAGATAGGGGTACCCAGTTTACAGCTAATTTCTAGCGATCATTCCAAAAAGGATTTGGTATGAGGATCAACCTTAGCACAATTTTCCATCCACAAACAGACGGTCAGGCCGAACGTACTATTCAGATGCTCGAGGACATGCTACGAGCCTGTGTTTTAGACTTCAAAGGAAATTGGGAAGATCATCTATCACTCATCGAATTTGCTTACAACAACAGCTACCATGCTAGCACTCGAATGGAATCATATGAGGCACTATACGGACGAAAGTGCAGATCTCCTATTGGTTGGTTCGAAATTAGTGAAACAAAGTTATTGGGTCCTGAGTTGATACAACAGGTTGTAGAAAAGGTGAAAGCGATTCAAAGTTGATTATTGACCGCTCAAAGTAGGCAAAAATCTTACTTGGATAACCGACGACGAGATTTGGAGTTCTCCTTGGTAGATTGGTTATTCTTAAGGGTATCGCCTATGAAAGGCGTGATGAGATTCGGTAAGAGAGGCAAACTCAGTCCCCGGTATACTGGACCATATTGAATTATTCAAAAAATTGGTCAGGTGGATTATAAGCTCGAGCTACCCCTGGACTGGAAAGTAGTGCATCTAGTATTCTTTGTGTCTATGCTTCGAAAGTGCTTAAGTGATCCTTCCCGTATTACCCCTATTAAAGATATTTAAGTTACAGAGGACCTATCTTACGAAGAAGTTCTGGTGGCTATCCTAGATCATCAAGTGCATAAGTTGCGAACCAAAGAGGTAGCTTCAGTTAAAGTACTTTGGAGGAACAATAAAATAGAAGAAATGACCTGGGAAGCTAAAGAAGACATGAGAACCCGGTACCCCCATCTATTCCATACTGCGTGAGGCTACAATGAGATTACCATGGCGGGCACAACCCAAAATGACTAAAGAAGTTTGCAAGAAGTGACTACGATTCAACATTCGAGGACGAATATTCTGAAGGGGGGAATGATGTTACACCCACACATAATGTTAAAGATTAGTAAGTTTGGCTTCTAGCGCAGACAACCTGCCGGCGACGCGTATGAGGGAAGAAGGTGGCTACGTGTTTCATTAGACTTGCACCAGCTGTCCCATCGGGTGTAGTGACTGGGGCGGGGCAACCCGTTTTGCATGTAGGGTGGCAAAACTTCCTAGACTTTGTATAGTATAAAAAGGTAGTGTAGCTCTTTCTCTTTCGTTCTAGGAAGTGTCACCCACTTTAACTCACCCAAAATGTTCTCAAACCCTTTTTAGAATCCCCAAAAAAGCCTGCAACTAAAATCAGAAGCGAGTCTCGTAGGATCTAGCGTGAAGAAGCTTAGAATCGTCACTATAAATCTATTACCTTGTTGTATTGATTCTTGAGATCCATTTGGAGGCAGGTTTAACCACCATAGAAGCGTAACCAGTTCATCAATAAGGTATGTAGGAAAACTTTCTTTCCTGGCATAACTTGGTGTAAGCGTCTTTCTCTCTAAAGGATTTTTATGTCGTAATTTGGTTTGTTCGAAGCCCTTCCCGATAACGTTGCTTCTGTTCTTATACATTCTCATCGGTAATATTTCTCTCAAGTTGAAGTGATTCCCAGATAGTATTCTGAAGTTGGAAAATATGACTCAGTCCGAGTTTGATCTTAGTATCTCTTGAAATTGACTTTGCATTGAAGAGACCTTTCGAGGTCGGTTACGCCGAGTTCTGCTGAGACCTGGTACAGCCGAGACCTCTTGAGGCCGGGTACGACTGAGTCCTCTATGAGGCCGGGTACGATATGAGAGGAAATGGCCCAAAGAGTGTTTGAACAATGATATATGTATATTATAATTAAGGCATGGCCCCAATGAGTGACTTGATTTTTACAAAACCACCATACATTCATGATTCATGGTTATGACAGTGCACGTTCCCTGTGGCTTGTCTTAGGTATTCAGTTGCATTGTGTATTTCCATTTTAGCTTATGTTATCGTTATTTTCATCGTTTATTGTTAATTCAATCTCATTATATATTGCTTTGATAAATCAATATTGTTGATGTGATTGGCTTACCTAGTCTTGGAGGTTAGGTGCATTCAGACCCCTTTTGGTGGGATTCGGGTCATGACATAACTAGGACTAGTACAGTCATACCTCTCTATAACCGCATCGTTATATAATAGTCATTCACTATAAAAGCCAAGTTTTTCTCGGAACCGATTTTTATGTTATATTTACCTCTCTATGATAGCTTTTTACCTATAAAAGCAATATTAATCTTTATAGCAGTATGCTCTTTGTAAAGTTACCCCTCTATAATAGCCATGTAGAATCTCTAAGATCGACAATGATAAGTTTAAAGATTTTGATCTCAACCTACTACTACTTGGATTGAGATAGAAGATTCAACTGCTAAGTTCTTGGATTGCCTTCAAGTGTTATATCGCTAGTAAAAGACTGAAATCTACGAAACAAGCTACAATTACAGAGCTCTTCCATTAATCTTGAAAGAATTTACAATTTAAATGATTTTTGTAGGATCATATTAAATTGATTCATAACAATAGGTAATTCTTTATATTAAGTTTAACTAAAATAAATAGCATTGATAGTGTAAAAATCTTACATTATTAGTATTCATAATGTAAAAATTCTTACATTATTAGCACTGATAGTATAAAATTTCTTATACTATTAAGCATATATAACTAAAACTCAATAAAGAATAGTATATGTGCTGGCAGCTGAATCTCCCACAAACGAATGTATAGTCAGATAAACACGCGCAGCGATGGTAGAAAGATCTGAAAAACTCAATAAAGAATACTATATGGCAGACAAAATACATGTTCCTAATTTGACCAATTAAGTCTACCCATGCTTTGAAAAGAATAAGAAAAATAGTAGCAAATGATACGCCGGCTTTTAGCCATCTCCCTAACTTCAAACCAAATTAAATACCTAAGCTATTTAAAAAGACTTCAACTTTTCATTATTCAACATGCCCATCCCTAAATAATAGAATCATTTCCCTTGTACCCTATAATCATGTTTCTCTATTTGTTAGCAATCATCCCTCTGTTTTTCCTTCTAAAGTTTGCATCAAAAACCTCTCTACTTCACATCCTCAAGAAATGGTTGAGGTTATTAAAAGATAAATGCTACGTGTACCAGTACTACAAGGTCCCTCAATTCAACCACAACATGCAAGAAAACCAACTCTATCGACAAATTAGCACGTACCTGAATTCTTTACCCTGTCTTGAAGATTCTAATTTCACCAACCTTTTCTCGGGAAACAAATCCAATGAAATCAACCTCGTTGTCGACGACACCAATCAGTACATCGTAGACAATTTCCTCGGCGCCAGAGCTTGTTGGATCAACGAAAAGGATGACAAAACCGGTCTGAATTCATTTGTTCTGAAGATAAGGAACAAGGATAAACGTCGAATCCTTCGTCCTTATCTTCAACACATTCACACGAAATTTGATGAAATCGAGCAGAGGAGAAATAAAGTGAGATTATTCATCAACATAAACAGACGGTGGATATCAGTGCCTTTTACTCATCCGGCAACATTTGACACGGTCGTAATGGAACAGGATCTCAAGAACAAAGTCAAAGCCGATTTGGACACATTCCTAAAGTCAAAACAGCATTATACTCGTATCGGTAGAATTTGGAAACGGAATTATTTACTGTACGGACCTTCTGGTACAGGAAAATCAACGTTCATTGCTGCAATGGCAAATTTCCTAAGCTACGACGTGTACGAGATTAATTTATCAAAAGTATCTAACAATTCGGATCTGAAGTCACTTCTGTTACAGACCAGGAACAAGTCGTTGATTGTCATAGAAGATCTCGACATTTACCTATGCGACAAATCAGCGGCTCTGAGTTCGTCTGCAATTCTCAATTTCATGGACGGAATATTTTCGTGTTGTGGGGACGAGCGAGTTATGATATTCACGATGAACAACAAAGATCAGATAGATCAGACGGTTCTAAGGCCTGGAAGAATTGATTTTCACATACATTTTCCTTTATGTGATTTCGATGCTTTTAAGAGTCTAGCTACTAGTCATTTGGGTTTGAAAGATCACAAGCTTTTCCCACAAGTAGAGGAGGTTTTCCAAACCGGGTCGGTTTTGAGTCCGGCTGAGATCAGTGAAATTATGATTTCGAACCGAAGTTCGCCGAGTCGGGCGTTGAAGTTGGTGATTTCAGCTCATCAGAGTAATAGTAAGCTCGTGCCATCCAGAACATCTGATAAAATTAGAACGATACAGAGTAATATTGAGGCCAACATGGCAACTAAGCCTCCACTATGGTTGAGCAAATCTAGATCGGTTCGACCCGTAGAGGAATCGGGTGTGCTTCCACAAGTATTAAGCAAATCTCAATCGGTTCGACCCGTGAATGAATTGGGTGATTCGTGTACATTTGGCAAGGAAAGTGTGAACGAGCTTAGAAAGTTCTATGGACTTATAAGGATAAGGAGTACTAGGAAAAAATCTCTTGATTTGGATACCACAGAAAAAGAAAATCCTCGGCATAGTAGTTAGTAAGAACATGTGTTTTTTTGTTCAAATAGGTGACATGAATTTTACGTTTGGGGCTCCAAACAATTAGTGGACCCTTTGTTAGATAATCCTTAGTTTCTTTAGTGTTTCAATAGTGAAAGTAAATTTAGAGTGAAACGTTCACATGACTTTATGTATATAGGATTCATTATTATCCTATTATTTGATTCAAGTTTGGAAACTTACTGATGGCTTTATCCGATGATGTTATCTCCTTTTTACAAAGCGAATGAACTTAATCACCTTTTTGAAGCAATAAATTAATACTTCAATAATAACGCTAATTCAGTTATTTTGCATCACTTCTAACTATTGCTAGCTCTAATATGCATCAGAAGTAAAAGTCTAGCCCTCCTGATCCAATATATAGACTTTCGGAGCCCTTTATTTAGTAATTTGAGAAGGTACACGATCAAGAATATAATTTAGCATTGACAAATTAAACTAGCTAAGTTGTTAGCATCTTTAACTATTACTCTGAATACGTAAGAGAATGGAATCCTCGGATCAACGATAAAGTTATTTCCGTGTGACCTCAGGTTCAAGCCGTGAAAACAGTCACTAATACTCGCATTAAGGTAGGTTGTTTACATTACATCCCTTAGGGTGCAACCCTTCCCCGGATCCTACGTGAACCCGAGATGCTTTGTGCACCAGGCTGTCCTAAGTCGAATTTGACTCACTACATTTACTTATTTAGATAGAGATGGAGCAGTCAAAGCCGTTAGCTGCAAGGAACTCCATAACAGAGATTTTTTTTATTTTATAAAGGGTGTTCCGTGGTTGTTTCTTTTTCCAATTCATTATTAGGAAGCTGTCTTAGGTCATACTACATATCAGCAACCTTTATTGATTATCAATTGATATAAGGTATAGGTAACTGGACGGAGAAAAGAATCATACCCATTAATAAAAATCGTGGACTATGTGTGGATTGCCACCAGTATAGGTATAAAGTCCATTCTTTAGCTTAGCCCAATTAACAAAAGGAGCACATACTCACAAAAAGAATTTACTTTGCATTTGCTCTTATTGATCTCTTTGATTAATGGCTCTCTTTAATGCGATGAGCCATAGACTTTATAATTGTAAGCCGCCGATAGTTAACTTTTCTCTTTTTGTATGTTGTCTACAAATTAAAATGGGGATCCATTTCAGCCAAAGACTTGATTAGCGAACCTGACAAATTTTTGTGGTGTTATGCTAGAATTAGCTAATCATATGGTCAACGTGGAGGCCAAAATTAACTTGGGACGTCGCCGAGTAGGTGCGACTCAATGCACCAGTATTGTCACGGGCCGACTCCTCCAAATTGTCAAAAGCACAAAGCACACAAATAGCTTGTGTGGCGCTCGTAGCCCCATCTGACTACAAGCCAGCCTTTTCTTGTCCTAGGTTTTCTAGCACAATCTTGTGCCTATATCGAAGCCTTCCTCGGAGACTTAGCTTCTCCTGTGCCGCCCGTTTGATACCAAGGCTTCAGACTTGTCTTGTTGATATATTCCTTAGGCGCATTTCATAAGTTGGGTCTTGACATGCGCACACCCAGGGTTTGGCTACGGACATGTCAGTCCTTCGCCTGGCACTAAGCGTCACTCTCGTACGCATAGTCCAATCCTCAAGCTTGACACTTGCCTGGTTGTGCTTTGCCCTAGTAGGGCAACCTTCAATCTTTGGCCTTTGTCATGTGCGTCTTTCATAAGATGCCTATAATTGTCATATGGCATTGGCAAACGTAACCCTCACAACATACTTCCATCCCACATAGTGCAGCATCACCCCACGACTGCACGTCTAGGCTAACGGACCCTTGCTTTTGCAAGGCTGAACCCAATCCATGCTCACAAGTCGGCACACGAGGCTCTTAAGAGTGGCGCCTCGAGTGCCCAATCGGCACAGAGGTGTTTGTCCTTTCCTACGGTAGCCCGCAGGGTCTAGTCGTTCCATACGCCAAGCCTCTGGCACTAGTTGTGCACCCAACGCTAGCCCTGAGGCTGGCGTCGTCCATAGAGTTTCCTAGCTCGTATGGATACCTTGGACACTCCTTAGAGATGCCTAGGCAGGCCCTTGAGGTTCCCCCTCAGGGTTGCTCACTTGGTGCGGTTTGGTTGCAGCACGCACTTGGGAGGCTGGCTCAGCATTCAACACCTCTGTCCCCCTTATATATGCTTTAAAAAAATGCTCGTGCTCCCCCACTTGACATTTTTTTGCCAGAGAATTATAATGGACATTTCTCTCTACCCCAAACTCCGAATGAGACATTGTTTATTCTTAATGATTTGTCTTTACTTCCTTCACATGTACATGAAGTTTCATTCCATTCCCATATCCTAGGAAAGAGATATAGCCTTCGCAAAATTCAGCTAATTACGGCAATGCCACTGAACTTGGCTAAGTCAAGCCCATTCATGGCACGCACACAATTGTTGCCCATAAGCTAGACCCTTAGGCTCCTTCTAAGTCCTTGCTATACTTCATTGACACTCTTAGAACATGCAATACAACATATCTAGATGGTCGTTGCCTCCCAGAAAGTCCCTTTTTCCTGATGCTCCTTCTTAAAGCCCATCGTCAGTACGTGTCACCTGCATGGCTGACATTCGTACAGCTCGCTCAGGGCGCACGGTGTTACGAGCGCTGAGAGTCAAAAAATGCAACCCGTAATATTTTCCCTAACTCAAACTTTTCATCGTCCTCGATGACATAGCACGCCTACGACAACCCGGAGCCTGTCCCCTCGAGGCATTACACCGTAGCTTCCAAATCTTGTGGGTCGGACTTCTCAAAGCCTATCTCAAACTGGAGTCGTGCTACATGCACTTTGAAGTGCCTCCGCACTTGCACCCTCTGGTGGTTAATTTAGTGGTGACACACATGTCATCCACAACGTGACCCTCACGACCTTCATCTTCATCCAGATCTCTCGACTCCACTCTTGGTAATTTCAATGGAGCATCCTCTGGTGTGGCACGTGTAGTCCATCTGTGACTTTCGCAGTCCCCTTATCTTTGGAAGACACTTATCCTTCAAGCAGACACTGGTTCCCAATGCCTCTTCATAGTCGGACACTCCCACACTCAAAGTGGAAGACACTCTTGTCGCCACTGCGATGCTGGCTCTCATGGTCCAGGTTGGCATTCCTCGATGTGGAAACTCTTGAAAACCATTCTCTCATGGTCCTAGTGTTCTTCCCTCTAGAAGATCTCACTGTGGAAACTCAGTAAACAAGGTCAAATCTCGATCCCATAATTCGGAGTGACTTGCAATTTACTTGATCCCACACTCAAGAAGATAGATCACGGTTGATCCAACATCTTGCCCATCACTCACACTAGAGGTGGTTCAACACCCAATACTGTCCCAATTGAAATATAACATGGACTGTGAAAACCCATGCTGCAACATGGTATCTTCGACCTTCACACGTTTTTCACCTTCTAGGACTAAGCAAGCTTTTGGGATGTACTCCTGGTGAGTTCTTCATGTTCTCAAAGTGAGTTTCTCAACATTGCCAAATAACTCTTTATTCTCAAGCTGTCCCTTCCTCGGAAATTACCCGATGTTCCTGGTAAGTACCTCTGTACTCAGCCCCATAGCAAGAACCCTATTGATTCTTCTATCAAGCACCCGATCTGATGTACCTCTATACATAGACCTAACTCGTTCGTTCCTCGGTGGTTAGCCATAAGTCTAGGAAGAACATGCTCTCAACTTGGAAATTTGTTCATCTCTGATGCTTAGTTGTTCCCACCATGATCTTGCCTCCTCACATTTATGATTCATCGCAATGCCTCCCCGCATGATGGTTTGGCCAACTCGTATATCCCCACCTCAGTGGTTTGACACTATTCCCACACTTGACTCCCCAGACGAAGTGGTTTGGCTCCTCTTAATGAGCATGGTGTTTGACCCACCTTATTGTAACACTCGAACTCCCCACAAAGAAGCTTGCTCACAAGTCCTCCCTTACGGTTGTCGCGGCCCTCTAGCACGCCCTGCTCTAGCTTTGGCATCACACAATGCATAGAGCTCAAATTCTCAACCATTGTTCCCCCGCGATGGTAGGCACTTACATATATTCGCCCAAAGCGATTGTTGGTGCGGCACTCGTGCCAACACCCCCGCGCTAGCTCAGCAATTGCCTCGTATAGCACTCAAACTCGAAAGCCCAGCTTGCCCCATGCTCACTTGTCCGGCATGGTTGTTGAGGGACCCACCTTCCATTCATTGCAACCTTTAAGATGGGTAGGCATCACACATATATTTAAGTAATTTTGAAGAAATATAACATTATTATACTTGGTTTAGGGAGAGGAGTATGGGTTCACGTGAACCCATATCCCACAAGCTGGATATATGGCTATCGCGACGTATGCACCATTCAACCTGACTGACTGTGTTGTAGGCTGAGTCAATAGATGAGATCAATGTAATATCACGATTGACTCATCATATCCAACCTGATTAACTATATGTTGTTAGACAAAGCCAACTACAACGATTTTGACGCTTCACCATGGCAACATACTCTTAAAATCTAGGGGATATGTACATGTTCATTAGTCAAAGTTTTAACTTGGAATTGTAGCTGATTAAGTGTGTCATGCCTTAATAGAAGCAACTTGTAGCTGCTAAGAAAGAACTCCCTTTTTGCAGGACTTGGAATAAGCGTATCTTTTTTAGGTGGTTTCCACTTATTTTTGTAGCAACAACTCTTCTCTACTTCATAGATGTAGGAGAGCTTTTTACTTTTTAACACATGAAATTAAATATCATTGATCAGTTAGGTTTGAAAGAACATTTTAGGATGTATTTTAAGTTTTGGCTGAATTAAAACTCATTTTCAATGCTTTTTCCAACTGGTGTATATATATAGTCTCTACCAAATTAATCTTGTAGACCTCGCTAATAAAGACAGTGCAGATGTATGTTAGAAGACACATCAATGGAACGCTTTAAACTCTCAAACTTGATAAGCAAAATTAATGGAGGGTTCGATATCTAACGCCTTGTTTCTCTGTACAAATTAGGAAATTGGTGCAGCAAGTTAACCGAAACTTCACTCTTCAGAAACTGCTGGTAATTCTTGTTTGAACCAGTTATAGAGCCCTCCCTCCAAATGAAATACGTTAGTATAACCATTCAGAATTAGCAAATATGCAGCAATAAGTGACCTGCACAACAAAATTTATACTTATTTCCTTTACAAGATTCAATGAATCAATTTCTTGGTAATTAAAGCAAAAAAGAAAAGAAGAAGAACCTTGACTGTTGGCCCTCGGGAAGATTTTGGGTAGGCTTCATTGTACCCCCAGATGAGCAAGCCACTATTATCTTTGCATCCTTGTTTATTTTAGATTCAACCACTGCTTGAGGATATCAACAATTAATGTTAGTAGTTATTAACTGAATCAATCAGAAAATATTTAGAGATTAAGTAGTGATACTTTGTATGAATTGGGGGTTTTCTTCAGTTCCAGAAAATATGCCAAAAAAGGCAAAAGCAAGGCGTCTAGCAATGTCCCATGCTGTCCATTCCTTTATTAGCCTGTATATCTGGACATTAATAGCTCCTTCTGGATGAGCCTGCAGCATGCCACTACCCTCTTCATTAAATTGAATTACTCTTCATATAATTCAATGACTGATACTGACTTACCTCTTTGAACTCCGCCTCTGGTCGTACGTCAAGAATCACAAAATTGTTCTCTTTCTGAAGTCTCAGCGCTTCCTTTGGCTCTACACTCCTCACCTGAAATTATTATGCCTAATTGTTACAACAATTACTACTGCCACACTTCAATCCCAAACAAGTAAATTACTTATTATGCATTGCTATGATTATATATGAGTTGAGATTCCAGTCTTTTTAAGTTGTAGGGTTCTAAGTTTATAATTTATACATTTTCAAAGTATTACTTTAGACAAATATAGAGCAAAGCTACGAACCAGTATGGTAGATCATATCGATCAATTCTTGAGAAACATCGATTTTATGAGCCAATGACAAAACAAGCGCATATATGGTTGTGTTGTGTTAATGTTGGTTTCTATTATGCATTAATTGGTGATGACTTGTGTTGAAGATAGACAGAAAGAGAGAGATTTGTTTACCCTTTTCTCAAGCAGATATGCCCGTTTAGTTGACCACTCTTCTTCAGCTATTTGATCCAATAACAAAGTAGTTAGAGATTAACTTGGAACACTAATTAACAATATAGAAGAATTATGATACATACACCTTAAAAAGACAAGGGTGGGGTTGGTTGCGTACCTGGTGATTTTGCAGGTTTGGTTGCTGCATTTTTTATTCTGAGGCTCAGTGAGAATCTTGTGCTTACTGTTTTAGCTAAGCCATATGTCACAGATTCTTTGGCACTTGAATAACAACTACTATGAAATCGGTGCTGTAGAGATGAGCCTGCGCTAACTGAAGTTACAGCAGCCATATATCTCCACAACAAATTTGTACCTTCTAATTAAAGATTGAATAATGAGAACTTGATGTGTTTGCTTTCTCTTTTGTCTTGAAATGGAAATATCTAGAGATGTGGATATTTTAGGCAATCTCAGTTTGTGGTGCTAGAGGTGCTATTTGGATTTCATTGTGTCCATGTCATCTAACTTTTCTTCCTACAAGGATTAATATAAGCCATCCTCCGTGTACAATAGATGTAAAATGACCTCCTTTTTTTCTTTTTTTACCACTCAACCTCAGGAATTAACATTATTTTACGCGTAACTCCACAGGAATTAACAGTATTTTACGACATATAACTGAATTATTAGTTGATGTCGTCTTTGCCTAATAATTTATAGGCCTATAGAAAGGTCATCATAATCTCAGAAAGGGCGCGAGTTGTAGGCTCATCGACCCATCATCTAGAGGTGAAAATCATTTTTCAAATTACCTCTTCTATACTTTGAAATATAGATGCTTTTTCATCTATACATGTTTTTCTTCTCGCAATTCTAAGCACTATCTATTTAGTGGGCGTTGGACATAAGAATTGCAAAATTTCAAAAAAAAAAGTGAAAAAAATAATTTCAACTGAAAATAGTATTTGAAAATTTGGACATGAATATAATTTTGGGCTGCTTTTGAAATTTTGAGAGTGATCTGAGTAAAAATTTTGAAAAATAGCTTTTTGGAGTTTTTCAAACTTTTAAAAAAAAATTAAAATTTATTTTCAGGCGAAAATTGAAAATTTTATGGCCAAACACGAATTTCGAAAAAAAATAAATTTTTCAAAAGAAAAAGTGAAAAAATCCTTATGTCCAAACGGGTTCTTAATCTACTATTTCACCGCTGCCCCTTCCCCGCCCCGCTTGTGTAATTTTTTTTACCTAGTTGCCTGAAGCAATCTTCTAATTCCTAATCCAGTTAAGGCTTTCCTTTTGCTAACTTTTTAAAGGAGTACAAACAATTAGTTTCTAACTGATGGCCATTAAGTTGGGTCCTTAATTGGGAAAAATAATGTCTTTGATTCAGCAGAACCCTATACCAATCAATTAAGTTCGAAATTCAACACTTCTAAGTTTTGCTCTATCCTCTTCATTAACTATTGTAATACTTAACAATTGTAGCATAAAAGAAAATTAAGCATGTTAACGAACATTAACCATTGAAGCACAAGAGAAACCAAAATAATGTCTAAGCATTAGAAGTATATAAAAGAGCAATTTTAAATTTCTATTGTAGTGAAACAATCTTTTTTAAATATAATGTATTCACACTTTCTTCTTAAGCCAAGTAAAGTACGATAATAGATAAAATGATGTCAAAGAAGTACTCAAGCTTAAAACTATTTTCTATGATAACTGGAATGAAAAAATATCTGGACCAGCAAATAACTGGGCCTCAAAGGTTGAACTAGAATTGGGTAGGGGCCGCGCGAACGCAGGCCCCCGCTGCCACAAATTATGACGTAGGCTCGGCCACATGGGCCGACCTTAGGCGGGCACCCCTCCAAAGTGCAATGGAGGTCACCAGCCTAGGCCATGGGCCTTCTTGATCGCCCATTGACCCCGTCCAGGTAAGTATGTTTCCTTTTCCTACTTGGCCCATTCTTATACTACCTTCTTCAGCCTCCAATCTCTTTATTTGTCGATGTGGGACGATATTGGCTTCTTGCATTGACTTCTCTCGTTGGCCACAAGGATTGGAATTTCTGTGCAAATCTTTGTCATTCTTGAATAGAACAGTTCAAATTCTTAACTAAAATTAGCTAATTCTTAGCAACAATAAGAGATAAACGCATAAAAATAGCCTTTTAAAATGAATTAACAATACTATAACTTACAAGCTAAACTTTCCCCATGATTAATGCTTTTCACTTTATGTCGTGTCTGAAACAAGTATCCATTATGTTTCTAAATTAGACTTGGTTGAATTCACATGACTGTTTTTGTTTTTAATGAATTTTTCAATATTTTGCAGCATTGGTATATTTGCCGAAAGAAAGAAAAAATTGTATGCATCGCTAGCTTAATTGGGATACCGCATCAACCTAAAGTATCACTATCACATCATCTTTATATGGTTTGCAACTATGAAAAAAATATTACGTGCTCTTCATGAAAATAAGAGCAGGGATGACAATGAATGTCATTAGAAACAAATTGAGGAGACTTCGAAACTAAATTATAGTATGATGGCACTCTTGATAGACTCAAAACATGGTAGTTGCAAGAGACTAAGCTAGCGTTTGGACATAGATTTGATTGAAACTTGAAAAAAAAAATTTGAAATTGTGTTAAAAAATAAATTTTGAAAGTTGAACTTGTGTTTGGACATGCATTCTATTTGAAGAAAATTTGAAGTATTGTGAGTGGAAGAAAAAAATTCACCCAAAAACTGCCCTAATCAGTTTCTGGGAACTTGAAAACTTTTGGATTTTTTCCCCAGAACATGATTACCTTCTGGGAGGTCCGTTTGATATCCAAAAACTGCTCAGCAACAGTCAGACAAGTGGAGAATGTTGGGGTGAACCAGAAAAAATTTGGGTAGAGCCGGATCTAAGCATTGGTTAGGTAAGCGTCCGGTAGTAACAGGAGTATTTATGAACCCTGTAGACCACCCCCATGGGGTGGGTGAAGGGAAAGCCCCAATTGATAGAAAAAACCCACAACCACTTGAGGTTATTCTCCACTTGGTAGAAGAAGTAGAAAAAGGAATAAATATAGTGATAATTTGATTTTTCGTCGTCGTAGTAAATAGGAGAGAAAATCAAATTAAATTTTTCATTTTTACAAAAAATAAAATGGAGTAAGCTTGTGACGTGTTCACTAAAAAAATTTCTTTGTATCCAATCATTTATCTAATATTTATGAATTATGGGCGAACGACGAAAATTAAACCCGCGCATGGTGGATTCACAATCCACTGCCTTGATTCACTTGGCTACATCCGTGTGACGAGGGTCATCGCCTGTATTCCTACTCGCTCTGTATTTCTGAGGCCGTAAAAACCTCACTTGGGGGTTGCCTCGAGTTTGTGTGCGCAGTCCGGGCGCGTAGCCGGAACGTTTAAATATGAATTTGTGAGAAAAATAATAAATTCTGATGTTTTAATTGATTAAGTTTGACTTCGGTCAACGTTTTGGGCAAACGGGCCCGGACTCGTGATTCGATAGTCCCGGAGGGTCCGTAGGAAAATACGAGACTTGCGGGTGTGCCCGGAATCAAATTCCGAGGTCTCGAGTCCGAGGAATGAATTTTTGTGTGAAATTGTTTTCTGGAAATAATTAAGGAAATTGGAAATGGAATTTGATTAAAAGACTGTGGTATCGGGCTCGTATTTTGGTTCCGACGCCCGGTACAAGTCTTATATACGGCTTAAGTACTTTCTGTAAAGTTTGGTTGAATTTGGACGTCGTTTGACGTGTTTTGGACTAAAAACTCTAAACTTGATGTTTTATGGAAATTGGAAGGAAATCCTGGGTCTTGAGGCCTAATTTGATGATTATGATGTTGTTTGGACGATTTGATCGCACGGATGAGTCCGTAGGATATTTTTGAGTTTATATGTATGTTCGGTTGGGAGCCCCGAGGGCTCGGGTGAGCTTTGAGTAGGTCCCGGGAGGTCTTAGGCTAGAAATATCAGATGGTTGCAGGTCCAGGTGTTGCAGGCCCCCAACGCGGCCGCGGTCATTTCTGCGCGGTCCGCGTGGCTAGGTTCAGAGGGCCAGTGCATTCTAGGTCAACCAGCGCGGCCGCGCACCAAATCAGTGCGGTCCACTGGGAGATTCAGAGAGTGGGTCTTGGGTCCATCCAACCAGCGCGGCCGCGCACCAAATCAGTGCGGTCCGCGCTGGGTAGGTTCAGAGAGTCATTTTCTTCCCTTCCTCGGCGCAGCCGCGGTGCATTTTTGTGCGGTCCGCGCTAGTCTTCAGCACAGTATATAAAGTCGGGATTTTCAGTCATTTTTCACTCTTTCAAAACTCAAAACCTAAGAGGCGATTTTCCAAACGATTCCACTTCTTCAAAACGATTGGTAACTGTTTTCTAACTGATTTTCTTTACTCCTTAACATCCTTAAATATAATTTCAACTTCAAAACAAAGATTTTAATGGGGGAATTGGGAATTTAGGGTAGAACCTAGGTTTTCTAAAATTGGGGGTTTTGGACCTCAATTCGGGGTCCGATTCCAAAATAACTTACATATTTGAGTTCATGGGGGAATGGGTAAACGGGTTTTGGTTCGAACCTCGGGTTTTGACCATGTGGGCCTGGGGGCATTTTTGACCTTTTGGGGTAAATTGATGAAAAAGCTATAATTAGTCATTGGGTTTGATTTGTTTAGCACATATTGCTATCATGAAGTCCTTATTGCATAGATTTGGTCGAGTTGGAGCCGAATTCGAGAGGAAAAGCGGTTGTGGAGGATTGTATTGGCTGTGGAAGTTGAGGTAAGTGTTTGGTTTAACCCTAGCTTGAGGGAATAGGAGCCGAGTCTTGTTTGCTAATTGCTAAATGATCGAGTACGATGTATAGGCATGGTGACAAGTTCCTATACATTGGGGTCTAGCATGACCGTGAGTCCTTATATGTGAGTTGTTTGGATATTGTTATGCCTTCCATGTCATTGATGGCTTCTATACGTGGTAAGCACATTGTGAAAGATATTGTGATTGTAGAACTTTGTGGAGCATTGGCTCGGTCTGAAATACAAATGGTGATAGCATGTGAAATGAGAAATGCCTTAGAGCTTGACAAGAGTGCTAATGAGAGTTAGGATATGAAAATGAAAGAAAAAGAGAAATAACGATTTACTCTTGCATGGTTATTATTGGTTATTTGTGTACCCTTGTTGGGATTTCTTTCCAAATACTTGTTTACTCCCTTGCCCTTTATTTGTGACTGTTGCTTGGGCAAGGTTGAGAGGTATACATTACGGATCGGGTTGCGCGCCGCAACAATGTTGTATGTGGATCGGGTTGCACGCCGCAACAGTGATAATTGTGGATCGGGTTGCACGCCGCAACAGTGATAATTGTGGATCGGGTTGCACGCCGCAACAGTGATAATTGTGGATCGGGTTGCACGCCGTAACAGTTATTGATGCAAATGTGTTTAGTGTTGGTATTAGTTTCTTGTTCGCTTTAAATTGTAAATTGCACCTAGATTGGTTACTTCGGATTTACTGTTAATCTTGTTATCTCCCCACAGCATGTTTCCCCTCCCATACTGTTAGTTGCCTTGTACTTCGATTTTCGTTGTATATTTATAATTGCACAGGTTTATGTGGGGTCCAGTCTAGCCTCGTCACTACTTCGCCGGGGTTAGGCTAGGCACTTACCAGCACATGGGGTCGGTTGTGTTGATGCTACACTTTGTGCATTTTTGCACAGGTCCAGGTATCGAGCAGCAGCAACAGCATTAGCACGGGGGCGAACCTTCAGTCCAGAGAGACCCGAGGTAGCTTGCAGGCGTCCGCAGGCCCGGCGTCTCCCTTCTATCTTTACATTTGGTTGTCATCTCATTGTACCCGAGATAAACAGATTATGTTTCTTTCAGACTTTGTATGTAGTACTCCTTAGATGTTCGTGAGTGTGTGACTCCAGTCCCGGGGTAGAGACGTATGTTGGAATTTCTATATTTTATTCAGTTATATAAATTTAAGACTTCCGCTAATGTTTTTAATTCCGTCGCCTTTATTTAATGCCATTAATTGTTAAAAAGGAACATGTGTTTAATGAATTTGTTAATTAAGTTGGCTTGCCTAGCTCCTATTAGTAGGCGCCATCACGACCCTCGAGGGTGGGAAATCTGGGTCGTGACAATCCGCCCCCTCGCCTACTTACATTCCGGCGTCACATTATTTAAATTAGAAAACAAAAGATTCAAGTTCGAATATTTCCCTTCTTTCTTATTTCAATGATATTATTATTTCAAAGATAAGAATATGAAGTCAAAATTAGATTGTTTTTTTTGAAATCAATATCAAAAAGATATAGTAACATTAGCACGAAGAGAAACAAGTGATATTTCTACAATTTTAAATAAATACAAAATCAAAATAGAATACTCAATCATGAATAACTACAAGCAAATAACCTATCCTTCTTTTACTATTATGTAAACAAAAAAATCTATGTAAGTAAAATACTAGTAAATGAATAAAAAGAAAAAAAGAAAAAAGGAGCAATAGCACCCTCTTGATAGAACAAGAAAATAATTATTGCTCATTTCTTTTCAAAACCTCATATAGACTAAACTGGGATCTTATCCATTTATAGATGGAGCTTCGATAGCAGCTAGGTCTAGAGGGAAGTTGTGAGGATTACGTTCGTGCATAACTTCCATACCAAGATTAGCACGGTTAATGATATTAGCGCAAGTATTAAATACACGACATTGACTGTCAACTACAGATTGGTTGAAAATGAAACCATTTAGGTTGAAAGCCATAGTGCTGATACCTAAAGCGGTAAACCAGATACCTACTACAGGCCAAGCAGTTAGGAAGAAGTATAACGAACGAGAGTTGTTGAAACTAGTATATTGGAAGATCAATCGGCCAAAAAACCATGAGCGACTACGATGTTATACGTTTCTTCCTCTTGACTGAATTTGTAACCTTCATTAGCAGATTCATTTTTTGTGGTTTCCCTCATCAAACTAGAAGTCACCAAAGAATCATGCATACCATTGAATAGGGAGCCGCCACATACACCAGCTATGCCTACCATGTGAAATGGGTGCATAAGGTTGTTGTGCTCAGCTTGGAATACAATCATGAAATTAAAAGTACCAGAGATTCCCAAAGGCATACCATCAGAAAAACTTCCTTGACCGATTGGGTAGATCAAGAAAACTGCGGTAACAGCTGCAACAGGAGCTGAATATGTAACAACAATCAAAGTTCGCATACCCAGACGGAAACTAAGCTCCCACCACGATCCATGTAACAAGCTACGCCAAGTAAAAAATGTACAACAATTAGTTCATAAGGACCACCATTGTATAACCATTCATCGGATGATATTTCATAAACAAACAATATTTTTTTTCAAAAATAAAGCCAAAATCTATGGCCACACGAGAGCTACGACCAAGTTCCTGTAAATACCTTTGTATAAGGAAAATATTCCAATGATCAAATAAGCAACTATTTTAATAACTCGAACATGCCATGCAACAGCATTGTTATTTGTCTTTACCCATATGAAGCTGACTTTAGCCTTCTGAGAATCCAGACATGTGCAAACTAAATCTTGCTCTTTATGGTCTGTGCCTATTTTAACTACATTTTTTTATCCTATGTGGCATTGCACATTCTTCTTTATTAATTTGCAATGTTGCTAAAGCATCGAGTCTTCTTCTTGTTCACATTGATGGCATATTATTTGTTCTAATAATGAGGTGTTAGTTTTGTGTATCCCTAATTTATGATGCATAATTCAATCTTGGAAGTTTTGTGCATTATTGAATCTTGACAATTGCACATGCAGAGGATCTTTTGGTCTCGATAACATTTGCCAATACATGTGCCAACCTAGCAATTACTTTAACTTGCGAAATATATCTTAAGATATGCTACGCGTAAATTATCAAAATTCTACAGAGAAAGCGTCAGATTGCAAATAGCCACATAGGCCAGCTTTATGGACGGACAGAGTTTCATAAAAACATTAGAGACGCAAGAAGAAAAAAGGTTTGGGCATTGTAAAGTTGTTCATTACAAGGATGAACACATAAATTACAAGTATGGAATCAGCTACTACATTGGCAGTGGCAATAGATGGACCAGCCACAGGGTACAATGCAATTGTAACCAAAATTGCTTAACCAGGATAAAATAAGCAAGTAAAAATAGCACGGGCTAGCCAGTTTTCGGACTGGTGATCCAAAAATAACCAGTGTTTGCAAAATCATTGGAGAATAGCCACTATTTTGGTGCAACACGGAAAGTTTCAGCATAATATACTGGAGATAGGTGCACCTGTGTATGAACTTCCAGCATATTATGCTGAAACTCCAACATGCGAAAAATTCCAGTATATTATGCTGCACCGGTATATTATACTAGAGTTCCACCATAAGTATATTATACAGGAGTATCTTTCCGGATTTTGAACAGTGTTTTCGTTCAGATTTTTCTTTACATGAAAAGTGGATAAAATTTAATTATTTTTAAAACTGTGACATTTTTGAATGACACTCGTAAATCAGGTTATTTTTGAATTTCTCCCAATAAGCAAAGCTGTAATTAATGGCTATGAGGAACAACTCATGTGTCCGCATTAGGCCGCCCTCCCTTCTCTTTTACATACATGACCCTGCACCAAAAATGTTTTCCAAAATCATGTGACCAACTAATCATTCCAAACCAAATCCATACATCACTATATATAAGTTGTTGTTGAATACCCTAAGGAAAATTCTAGTGAAGTCTCATATAATCATGCATGCTGCTACCTGGATAACGATTAAACTGTCAGGCCACGACATCTCTCTTGAGGAAAAATATTATCCAGCCAAAAGCTATAAACACCTGCAGTTCTACGTACATAGAGCAACAAGGTCAAAACAATACCTTTTTTCTTTAAGAAGGCAGCAATTACTCAACTCAAGTTAGGTAGCTAGATATTTAATAAGCTTCTAATCATTCACCAACCAGAACATCCTAAGTAATTATAAACATGCATAAATTCCTAAGCAAACATGTAAAATCACTTGATTTTTCCAACCAAAAAACAAAGGTATTTTGGGACTCTTTTCTTGATTGAATTCGAGAAATATAACTTTTGGAGGAAAAAAAAAAGGGTAGTCCTCAAATTAACAAGTACTTAAAGAATGGTAAAAGAAATTATATGACAAGCAATGCAGGACTAAAACCAAGTGACTTCTTCCAATGAAGCTTACCAGCAGCCGATATGTGAGTCGCATAAACAGATCAGCGAAATCTTCTTGTAACACTGCCATGGATAGGATTCAGTAGCTCCCTTCTAGACCATCAACAAGAAATCAGGCGTCAGTGTCAGTTTTTTTAAAACAAAAATAATAATTGGTCGATCTTGTGTTAATTTAGCATGTTACAAGCTACGAAATAATCCTTTAAAATGGAGTATATACGAAATAATCCCCTAATATTAAGACATTAGCCCATCGGAATTAGCAGGTGACACTATACATTGACATGCTTTTAGACGGTTTCACACAACTCGATTGAAAAAGAGCGTCATGACCCTTACTTCTTATATTAGGCAGATTAAATTTTTTTTATTTGACTAGTCAAAGTGGGCTTATGCATTTTGAAAACTGTTCGACTATTTACACATTAACCACTCCAGAATTTCCTATTAAGAAAATACTTTAGCCGTCTTTAACAGTTCTTTAACAAATAAATAAAAATATGTAGTTATTACTGGGTGATGCTTTCCTCGTTTCCTTTTATTTTTTATTTTTCATTATTTTTTTGGATTTTCCAAAAAAAAGGAAATATAAATGATCAAGGAACATCACAAAAAATCTGAGCACATTATAGACAACCAGATAATGGCTCAAAAACCTTCATGGGGTACGCTTTTTACAGTCCTTTTCACCCAAAGTCATCTGCCTATGTATTTTCTTTCTGTTACGTATTTTATCCACGGTGAGTTCCCAGCTCCAGGCTTTACAGCAAAAATTCATTCATTAGTCAAATATTGCGGGAAGTTTGACAGTATATATATTTTTGGTTTCCTAACCGGTGTTCTGTGCTATATCCGAATTCGCCCCGCGTAGGGCCCCCATTCGGGGGTGAACGCTCCCTACCAAGGATTTTTATACCCAGGGCTCGAAATCAAGACCTATGGTTGAGGAAAGAACGGCCCCATCCGCTGCTGCAGCACATCCTTTGGTGGTGAAAGTTTGACAATATATAACATCACAGACTATCATGCTTTGATATGATAAAAGTGAAAATAAAGTTATACAAAAATAAAGGCAGTCCATTGCTTTGTAATAGAATGAGCATGCCGCGCAGACTTTTAACCATGTGATGAATCCACATAAAACAACTCAACTTGAGCCACATAACCAAGTACATCAACCGTTAACAACGAAGTTAGATTTTACTGACTCTGCAAATTTCAAGAATGAAGAAAATAAACAAACAGCAATCACAGTGATAGTCGATGGTATGCATGGATGAAAATACTAGGAAAGTCGACTACTTTTTTGCCCTCAAGAGTCATATACCAACCACAAAAGGATGGAATACACACATTGAAGTAACATGGGACTCTCGAAGTACAATTGTAAATGCTTTCATAGACTCCAAATAAACCCTTACCACCAGTGCCAACCCCCCCCCCCCAAACCCCACCCCAAACCCAAAAAAAAAAATAATAGAAATAGTTTCTCTAGTTCCTATTAGAAAAGTTTTACTTGGATAAGGTAACCAAAACCATCAACAGATGGAACCATGGGAAGGCACAGACACTTCTAGCAAGTATTTGATTTTCTTTGTTTCCGTCAACCTTAAAAGTCTCCACGCCTAAATGATAGCAACTAACAACAAAATTGACACGAAAAGCCTCCCAGCCTTTCATGAACAGAGCAGATGTTAATGCCCATCATACAACACCCTGCAACGTCTACTAAATCATAAGTGTTTTAGTGATTTAAAAATGAATTCAAACAATTCATGGCATGATCGAACAAACAACTTTTAGAACTACTATGCAGCAACTCCACTTAACATTACACGTACATTGTAACATCCTAAACGCAAGATTCAAGCAATATCATCTCTTGTCTGTCCAGATATGAAATTTAACAACGCGTGGGTCCAGTAAAGTCGAGGCAGAAAATTGAGGTTGAAACGAAAGCTAAACGCTTTATCGCAACTATCACTTCCTCCCCCGGATAAAGAAAACCCAGCAATTTCAAGCTGGTCCTAACGAAAGCCCCTGATCAGAGAAACACGTCGCACACGAAACTGCGAAGCCGGCATAACGTCTCTAAGTATCATAAATCTCCAAACTTGGGCAAGTCCTACACAGAAGTATAGTTCCACAATTTAGTTTGATCTATGAATGTCTAGCATATGTTATGGCCATCGATAATAAAGGGTCAAGCGCATGGAAGTCTAGCATGTCACCTGTAAAGACGCATAGTTTTAACGTTTTCCGCGATTCCCACCACCTGACCTCGCACCAGGATTGCGAGCATATTGCAGCCTTAAGCTGACCGAATCACGGTCATGCTCGTCGAATCTATAACCTGCAAGATTTAGTTTTACTACCTCACCAGCGGAACAAATTTCTCTTTCACTGACGACTCAAATATACACCAGCAAAAATGTGATGTTGTGCATGCATTGCCCAACAATTGGACATGGAGTTGCTATCAAGCAGAAAAAGTTTCGTTATGCAACCAATTGACGAAAAAGGTATATGGCAGACTCAAAGGCACATGCAGAGCCGCGCAATAGTGCAGTCTGCAAACGTCCTTCAACTTTTATGAAAGTTTAGTGCCCCTTTAATTGCCAAGGCAAAGATCTTAACATGCAATTCACAACATGAAATAGGATGAAAGGGCTACAGAAGAGGTGGTAGGGCAGGGAGGAGTGAGCCTAAATTATTAGATTGAGCCTCGGAGACAGCAACGCCGAGATAAACTAATCTTGTTCAGTGCATATAACATTTACCTAAAGGATCATCACACTCAACGTATATAAAATGGTTTGTTCCCACAAAGCATCTACAAGCTGTTCCCCATTAAAATTGTCTCTTACCAAAAGACTCAAAAGATTTAATTTTTTTTTGTAAATAAGAAGTTAAAAGTTAACAGAACGCATAAACAAAGTCTTGGTCCTCAGAGGAGTCAAATTTGGAGTTTATGTAATCTCCTGTAACATTCCCCAAATTATTAAGCAAGCAGTGCCAATTTCAAAATCATTGCTCATGCGTTGACTTTGAGTAGATAGAATCAGACTTAAACTTTAACGATTGCCAAAAATCACCATCTTTTCCCCCTTTTTTCCTCTTTTCAGTTCCAGAAATTTATTGATTTCATGGCAACTGGTTTGGAGGATAATTCCACAAGCCAATAACTAAATTACAACCCACTGCACAATTACTCATCTTAATTAGAATTCTATAGCACCATTACCTCTTTTGACTTTTGGCAAAATCAAAGAATAGTTGACAAGCCAGAAATTGGGTCTGTAATAAACCAAAAGGCCTTACAATGACAAGCTATGCATAATCAATGGTGCCTAAAGGGAATGCCAAAAGAGTAAACGATCAGTCAATTAACTCAACCCCAAAATAGTTGTGACCCACCATATGAATCCTCAGGAACGCCAAAAGAGCAGTGCAAGAAAAAGGAAAAAGAAAAAAGAAACAGCAATTGAAAAAGGAGAAAAAGCCTAGAGCAGAAAAGCAAAGCCATACATCAAATGGAACACATATCCGCCAGCCAATATTATGTCAGATCCTTCACCAAGGAATCATGATCTTTCTTTACCTTTTATCAGTTAGCCGTTAGACTTCGTAATATTAGAAAATGATAGTTAAAGTTGCATTCTTCCACCAAAGTCGACAATTGGTGAAGCGGTGACACTGTTTATACACTAATCCATAAGCAGTAGGTCTTTGTCCAGAAACAGCACCATAAGGTAATTAAGAGGCTCGGTAATTTACAGAGCTACAAACTCTCAGACTCTGCTCCACCTTAAAATTTTTAGAATATTCACAGTATTTAGCATTTTGTTTATCTGATGAAAAATGAGGATTCTCTACAACCAGCACTCAGTATGAGGTACCCATGTCAGCACTAAAGAATACATGGAGAAGTTTTTATCAAGAGCTCTGACAACAAAAAGTAAAAAGAGTTAATATCGTGTGAGCCGATGGCCCACACATCAGATATTAAACTAATAAGAACAGATACGACATTTGATTACACTAGCTGAAAAGATTACAGTCAGAATTAATGAAGCATACTCCAAGCACTTATCCTATGCTGGAAGACTACAAACTATCAATGCAGTGCTTTTCTCTATATAATACTTTTGGGGAGCTGTATTCATCCTCCCTCAGTGTATTGAAAGAGGTGGACAGAAAATGTAGATAGTACTTATGGGGGAGCTCTGAAGAGAAGAGAAAAGTTGCACTGGTATCATGGGACAAAGAGTCTGTGTCCCTAAGAAATTTGGGGGTTTGAACATAAAGAATTGCAGGAAATGGGATGTAGCATCAATGGGAAAACTATTATGGCAATTGACAGAAAAGAGAAAGATGTCCTATGGGTAAAATGAGTAAATCAGGTTTATATGAAAGCAAAAGGGGATATTTGGAGTCACATACCACCACAAGATTGTTGCTGGTACTGGAAAAAACTAAACTCTCTGAAGGGTCAGATGCAAGAGCGGTACCAAAATGGAACATACAGCCTGACTGCTAAAGGAAATTACTCAGTGACAAGTAGCTATTTAGCTGTGCTGGGAACTATTACAAGAATGAAGGAAGCTGATTTAGTATGGAGTTCAGTTATGCAGCCAAGACAGTGGATGATAGTGTGGCTAGGAAATCAAGATGCTACTTACTAAGGAGAGGATGTACAGGCTGAATACATCCAATGGACAGTGACAACGGTGCTTATGTGAAGCAGGTAGTATTGAAACAAGCTATCATCTATTTGCTGATTGTAGTTGGATCTCTGAAGTGAGAAATGCACTAGGGGCTTGGGCTGGTGTACGTATAGTAAAAGCCGATGCAAAACAGAGTATACACTGGCTTAAAAGGAGGAAACTGACTCAGTTTAAAAAAGAGACAGTGGGCGCTATATGGGGAGAAATGATCTATTACACTTGGCAAGCTAGAAATTGGAGGATTTTCAGGAATTCTTGTGTAAATACCAGTTATGTAATAGCATAAATACAAAAGGAAATTAGGGGTTAGAATAGATTGGATAGGAAACTCGAAAAGAGCAAAGAAATGTCAATACTGGATACATAGTTTATGTAACTAGAATGAGAGGTTATCTGGCTGTTTTGGGGTCCATCTATTACGGTAATCTTCCTAGATGTTTGTACATACTTCGTTCGTTAATGGTAATCTTTCACAGTTTATTACCACCAAAAAAAAGTAAAAAGAACTGGTAAAACCACGATTTCCACTTTTTGAGGTGAAATACGTTTGAGAAAGATCTACCGAAAATGCTCAAATATGGCCTAATGCCTAAGGATCACCACAAATTCAGGAAGTGGTGTCAGTGTCACTTCGCATGTACAAGTATTCCTCAAATATATAAGAAAATAACTTGTAGAGGAGACAAGTCAGTATGGGCATTCAGAAGGCTGGAAAGAATAAGGAGAAATTGAAACCAAGAGGGAGGAACCAGCATTATCAGGTAAAATACAAAGAGGATGACCCTGGTGAATCAAACTCGGAAAAGAAATCGTTCCTTGGCCGAGATATCAGTCTACTTAGAATAGACTTTCATGGATCATAAATGAATAGTATGAGCTAACCTTATTCCCAAGGGAAAAAAAAAGAGTATTGAGTTTAGGAGTGAGTAGTCTATTGTAGAGGTTTTTGAAAGTAATCACGACTTGTGGCGCAATTTGACAGGATTGCATATGGATTACTCACCCCTAAGAATGACAGAATACAATACAATAAAACTATACTACCTTGATAGGTTAGGCTACAAAGCTACTTTTCCCTAGGGAGCACTGGAGCCTCTTATGTTCCACAAGGAAGGCAAGGACGTATTTATATTGCATACTGGAAAATATATAAAGTACTGGGTATATGGCGCACCTAGTGAAATAAAGAAGGGAAAAGCCTAGCAGGCCATCAAGGAGACATCAACACTTGAGCTAACTTCCTCATTTATTAAGGATTACTAAATGCAAGACCACACAACAATCAAGAATGTGAGCTGACTGACAAGCCTGCAAACGGAAACTATTCTTCCTGGTCTCAAGTTTAAGTAATCTGATCCACCACGAATTGTAGGTGATATTAATATTGCAACTTAGAAGCAAAAAATATTTGTTTATGCTCTTGTTTAAACTTTGAAAACCTCATTCTTATAGATGTTTCTACAGGGCTGCATAAATTGATAGTGCAGTGGATTAACAGAACTAGGTCTTGATAGATGCAGAAGGCTTCTTTTCTTCTTTTTTTTTTTGGACGAAGTAAGATAAGATACATGAGGATTCATATCGCCAACCCAACTTGTTTGGGACTGAGGCATAGTTGTTGGCGTCGAAGTAAGATAAGATGCAAAAGGTATTCTTATAATTGTTTCTACGGGCTACCAAAAGATGAAAGAATATGAACGTTAACTGTATTACTAGCAGTCATGATATAAGACTACAGATGGGTATGTCAAAATAGAAGGGTGCGTCAAGCTCACCTTGCAAGGCATCCATTGCAGCAGCTGCATGAAGTGGAGTCACGAAATCAACAAAGCAAAGAATCAAAGGATCACCTCCGTGCTGCATAAGTCGATAGTGCAGTGAATTTCAAAGTAACAGTATATAGAACTAGGCCTTGCTAGATGCAAAAGGTTTTTTTTTGGACGAAGTAAGATAAGATGCATGAGGATTCATATTGCATGAGGCGTAATTGTTGTTGTTGTTGAAGTAAGATAAGATGCAAAAGGTATTCTTACATGCCGCGATCCTTTTGGTACCAGCCTTACTTCTTTGTAACCTACAAAAGGGCGAAATATATCTGCAAACAAAAGTCAAGGAGAAAGTAGAATAGGACGTATAACAATAAAACAGCGAAGCAGACCGCACAAGGATACGTGACACCTCTCTTCTTGTACAATCCGCAGGCAAACCCTCTACAAACAATGTACTGCTAGCATCCGGAGGAAGGGAAATTTCTGGTCTGCCACCTACCATTCCAACATTCCTGCTTTTTAAAGCCAGCGGGTCGGGTCCCCCGATCCCCATAACACGTGGATCTTCAATAGGATGGCCACTAATTCCACTATTTATGGATCTTGCAGACTCACTGGCAACATGGGAGGAAATTTGCTGGAAATTTTACCAATACATTAGACCTATACAGTATCGAGGAAACACGCACAAAAGAAAATAAAAATGAATTACCCCACTACGGAGGTAGCGCTCATAGGATGCTTCTATAGGATCTGTGTCTCTAATGACACGAGGCATTCCCCTTTCATCATCACGGCCATAATAGCCAGGAAACTCAGGACCACTTGGAACATCTACAAAGGGCAACATCAAAAGAAATTAATTACAGAAAGAGAGAAACAAGCACTAAATTATGTGTCAAAGAAATAATCTTTTTTCGGGTAATATATGACCACAAACAAACAAGCAAAGAATAGTAAATGAAGCTAATTGAAGTGCAACAACCATCAGCATGGGCAAAAGATAGCAAAATAGAAACCAAGCCAGCTACTTGACACGATTTTTATCCTAGACTCCTAGTTTTCCTCGAGAAAAGAGTTAACGGTCTAGTTAGGTGAAAGAAATTGTGGTCATGCAGAGTTACAATTTACGAATCTTTAGTACCAATGTCTGTGGGCTAACACAACCAAGCCAATAATATCATTGCACTTCCGTACTTTCTATCTATATAAATACAACATGACTACACATCAATCTTAAGCAAGTTGGGATTGGCTATATGAATCATTATTGTTCACATAGTTCATTTAAACCCATATCCGTCCAATATTATAAAACTTAGTTTCTCTAGCACTAGAAATTCTTGGATAGGTCCTACAAACCGGTGCATCCTTTAGACATAAATCGAATTGGTTCTCTATCACTCTTGTAGTGTCCCCAGGCTACGTCCTATTACTCTTTTCTAAATTATTATTGTATTGCTCATAGCCACAATAGTTTGCACAACTTTGAATATCTCCTTTGTTCTACATATTGGAATCAATGTACTCGTTCTCCGCTCATGGAACATCCTACCACCTCGCAACAAATGCAATACACTTCAAATATGGACTACATACTTTTCTACTCTGCATATTTTCATGGTATCATTTACTTCTACTTGCCTAATTCGACAAGATTAGCTAAAGTTTCTATTGGAAAAACATGCATGGAGATTGATAAAGTCATCCTAGTGATTCAAGAGCAATTGATTAAAATAGCCTCTCTATCTCTCTTTGTGATCTCAATATCTCCAAACAACACTTTTTTAGAATCGTCTTTAGTACACTTCAACTGGCTTAAGTTCTTATGATCTTCTCTCTCGGGTGTCTGCTATATACATTTGTTTCTCCCATTCTTGAATCCCTAACTTTTGTTACAAGCAATCTAGCACTTCTTCTCGAGCTTTGGTAATGGACTTTTGAGCTTTCCTCTTAGCTCTTTTATACTTTTCAAAGGCTTTTCCAACTTGTGCTTTTGGTAACTTCCCGCTGAACTCTCGTTTTATTTCAGTAGCTCTTTGCACCTCCGCATTCCACCACCCACATCTTGTGGTCGAGGTCATAAAAATTTAGACACTCCTAACACGTCACTTGCTACTTTCTTAATGCAACTTGACATTTACTTCCACATGATGTCTCCATTCCCATACAGTTTTTCCACTATCGTTTTTCTTGAAATGCTAACTAGTTTGTGCCTTTTAGTTCCCACCACCGAAATCTCGGTTGTTTGTAACTCGTCAACTTTCTAACTCTTCTTTTTTGCTTTACATCCAACACCACCAGTTTATGATAGGCTGCCACAGCTTCTCTTGGTACAATATCGCAATTCCTTATATGTTGTTCTATCACGTCTTCGGAAAAGGATAAAGTTTGTTCAACTATGATTATCTCACTCTCAAGTATTATTAGGTGAGAGTTTCTCTCTTTTAGATATGTGTAGCTACAAGTAAATCATAAGTTAAAGCAACCTCTAGTATAGTCTTTCACCTTTATTATAGTCTTTGCTTCATCAGTTCTGGTACCAAACCACTTTCATTGTGTACTTGGCCGAATCAGTCTGACTATTCAGATCTTTCCTACTAAAAATATGTTGGTCCCCTAGAAACTCTTAGACCAATGTGTCCATATCTTCTCAAAATTTAGTTCCAGTTTATGCACCTAATCGTATTTCTAGTATACGTATTATAACATTGATTGTCTTAATCACATACAAGGCTTAATGAGATAATCATATTCCAACTTGTTTTTACCTCTCCAACTTAATCCCTAAGTTCGGGCTCCACTATAACATCACGTGTTTCCTATTCTTGTCCATCAACAATACCACAATTTATGATTTGTGTTGCCAATCTCTCTAACCTTTTTTCCCCTAAGGGGAAACTTTTTATAGCATGCAATACCAACTCCCCTTCCTACTAAGGTATTCTTCCAACCCCTAATTTACCCGTCAATCTTCTGACCATTTTCCGCTTTAGAGGGGCCTATAACCAGATTCTACAATTTTTATTTCCTCCTCTTACTCCAGCAATACCAATGAACTCTTGAGTATTGTTCCAATCCCTATCATAACTGTCGATCTTTTTGCCATTATACACTTTAGATGGACTATAAGCAAATACTGGAATTTCCTATTTCCTCCTCTTACTTGCAACAACTAAAATCACTTTTGGCAAGTACGCTTCCGATACCTAACATAGGCCATAGCTATCACATTTTTGGGTCATTTTTCCCTTTAGCGATACCAATAACAAAATACCAAAAGTACCATTTTTTTTATTTCCTACTCTTACTTCAGCAATACCCAGGACATTTTGGTGAGTATTCTTCCAATTCCTACCATAATTATCTCCTCAAACACATGAAAAGCCACAAAGGTAAAGTTCTTGACTGAAAAAGGTAGTAAATGAATAAACCCTAGCTTTTACAAACCCTAAGTTGAGAAAAAATACGCAGAGATCTCGAATTATTTAGACATAAAAAGAGAGCGGGAGTTGATTAAGATACCATATTCGGTGCGAGGACGTTTTGCGACGAGTTGAGGAGGAAGAGCCGCCGCCTGCTGCCCACCGCTGGTGTACCTCCAGTAAGCATCCGCCATGTCACTACACTGTCTGTGGGAGAGAGGAAGAGAGAGAGACAACAAGTAACGAAAAGGGTGAATTCAATTTCGATTAAAATCGAAGGAGAAAAGGGAAAGCGCTGCGCCCTTTCTCGAGCTGCTCTGCGAGTTCGATAAATTAAGGACAACAAAATGAATGGAAAAAAAGAGCCAAAAGAGGATCCGCCTTTATTTATTGGCGAAGGAAATGACGAATTTAACTCTAGAAGGGAAAAAGGGTTACGTATGTAATTTAATCCTATTTTCATTTACTAAAAGGGAAAAAGTTTTACGTATGTGGTAAGATTTAGGGTGTGTATGGCTGTCCAACGGGACGGGCCGACCCGTCCCGGTCCCGTCCCGTCCCGTCCCGTCCCGTCCCGCTAAAAATTCAACGGGATGGGCCAATGTTACGCGGGACACGGGACGGGACGGGACGCCCGTTTCGTCCCGTTTGTCCCGTCCCGTTTCGTCCCGTCCCGTCCCGCGTCCCGTCCCGTCCCGTCCCGCGTCGCGTCCCGTCCCGTCCCGTCCCGCCTGTTTTTTTTTTTTATTTACAAACTAGTCGTTGGCCAATGGCTTAAATTGCTAAAATGGCCGTTGCCAACGGTCCAAAAGGCCCCCACACCCCCCAAAACCACCCCCAACCCCCTCCCCTCCTCCCCCCAAACCTTTTAATATAACCCCTAACTTTAATATTTGTCACTTTGGTCCTATTTTCTTACTATAAATACCCCCCATTCTTCTTCATTTTTTCCCACAAAAACTCAATCTTCTCTCTCAAATCTCTTACATTCTAATATC